ACTTTAGAGGAGAAACTAAGGTTCTGAAGTGATGGGCCCCACTCAGTGACCAAAGGTACAATTTGAAAGGATAGTACTGGTTTAGGGTTTCAATAAAGGTTCACACTTAGAAATCTTTGCTCAGAGTCCAGAACCTACCCCTTCCCCACCCTCCTGTCTCCGACAGCATCTGTGAGTTCTGGTACCCCACGGCTGACACTGGTCTAACAGAATCATGCCATTTTGAATGCAAGCGATGAGAATATGATTCAGATACAAACAAATCAGCTACTATTACAACAATACGTATGCATATTTCTGGACAGATATACAAGGAACTGTTCATAATGGTTACTTTTGAGGAGGGGGACTAGGGTTCGGAAAGACAGGACAGGGAGATATTTGCTTTTCATTTGATTTTTTCTTTACTATTTAACTGATTACAATGTACAGATATTAACTGTGTTCAAAACCTAAACAACAAAATAGAAATACTATGCTCACAAACTTCACAGGAGAAATAAAATTTACCCCAGTAACACTGACACTTGAAAAATCTATCATCCAGTACAGCAGTACTTCTTAAAATTTTTTGCCAAAGTATCCATAATAGTGGAGGAATTCTGAATGGGTCCTCCCAGGGGTCTGGGGGCAGTGCCAGAAATGGTCCTCCGTATACAAGAACTCTCTTTGCAGCCTATGTTTTAAAAATGCATTCAAATTGTGCAATAGACTCTCTAACATATCCGCATGCTTATTAATATAAGAATAATGGCTTAAATGACTTACCATCCACACGACAACTGCCCCTGTGGGGAGAGAGCCCTGGTTTCTTTCTCCGGCAGTCAGTCCGGAGCACCCGAAGCACACTGCCTCCAGTGACTGAAGAGGCCTCTGGAATGAGAAGCTCGGCTGTGCGCAAGCTGACCTGTATTCTGGCTCTCTCACCTGGAATCAGGATTCACGGATCCTGTTATGCATTGAATAGTAACAAAACAACAGCATAAATTAGGGTGTTGCTAAGATTGTGTACCATCAATGTTCGCATGAGCATAATGGACATAATGAATTCTATAGCACTATCCTGCACAGCTTGGAGAGATTAAAACCACTTTGTCTTTAAATTAAATTTCAAAAATCATTGAACAGCAAGAATAGAAAGAACAGAAAAAAAAACCACCAACAACCACCTTATTTATATCAGCCATCTAATTGTAGGAAGCACCACTTCTTGCTTTCTGATCATTAATGCCTGGTCCTAGGTTTATGTTAATAGCTGCAGCTCAATTGCGTCTACATCTATTGTATTGTGGTTTGCAGCCCTAACTAAAGAGCCTCTTAGCCCCTTTTAGGGTCAAAATCTACAACTGAAAAAGACCTAAACTGAAGTTTATTTTATAGAAATTCTACACAATATTGTATGTCTAGGCTGTTGCAGAAAAAGAAAAGTGTGCTTGAATTCATTCTTAAGTTTCGCTCTGCTTGGGCAAATCTTCATTCAACAAAATGAATGCCTAATTAAGAAAAACTCCTATCGGTTGCTTACTAGATGCCAGATGCCATACTTACTGTTCTATATGCTTAATGTTCCTTAACCTTCACTCAAAACACCTGTAGGAAATATAGCTGGCATTATTATATCCCAATTTTACAGATGAGAAAACTGAGACTCAGAGAGATTAAGTGACTTGCCCAAGGTCATACAGCAAAGTAAGCAGCAGAGCCAGGATTCAAATCCAGGTACTTATTTCTTTTAATTTTTAAAAATTTTATTTATTTTAATAATAATAAATTATTATTTATTATAATAATAATAAATAGAGAAAGAGAGAGAGGCACCGATTTGTCATTCCACTTATTTATGTATTCATTGGTTGCTTCTTATCTGTGTCCTGACCAGAGATCAAACCTACAACCTGGTTTATCTGAACAATGCTCTAACCAACTGAGCTACCTGTCCAGGGCTTCAAATCCAGGTACTTCTGATTCTGGAGAACATGAAATCTTAACTGCCTCTTAATAATTATCATAGTTACCATTTATAGAGCGCCTATTATGTATGTTGTATGGCAGATGATTTGCATAAATTATTCAGTTCTTACAACAGCCCTCTGAGGCAGGCAATATTATCCTCATTTATAGATGAGAAAAACTAAGGGTTAGAGAATCTAGGTAACTTTCCCAATGGCACAGTTAAGTGGCAGTATCCAGGCCTTTCTGATACCAGAACAAGAGTTTTGGTTTTTTTAAACAACTTTAAGATTTTTTTTTTTGTTAATCCTCACCCGAAGATATTTTTTCCATTGATTTTTAGATGCATGGGCCGACTAGGGCTGGGACTGGAACCTGCAACCCAGGCACATGTCCTTGACTGAGAACTGAACCCACCTTCAGTGTATGGGCTGATGCTCTAACCACTGAATGACACTGGCCAGGGCTAAGATCTTTAACTTATAAAAATTGTATAAAGTGTACAACTCTGTTTTGACATATGTACACATTGTGAGTTCTTTAAAAAACTTTTTTTTTCTTTATTGATTTCAGAAAATGAGAAAGTGAGAGGGAGAGAAAGATAGAAAAGAAACATCAATGAGAGAACATCGATTGGCCGCCTCCTGCATGCCCCCCGACTGGGGATGAGGCCCACAATCTGGGCATGTGTCCTGATCAGGAATCAAACCCACGACCTCTTGTTGTATGGGTCGACGCTCAACTACTGAGCCACACCAACTGTACTACATTGTGAGTTCTTTTTTTTTTTTATCCTCACCCGAGGACATTTTTCAATTTTTAGTTCAGATAGAGTGGGAGGGAGAGAGAGGAAGAGAAAGAAACATCAATGTGAAAGGGACACATCAAGTGGCTGCCTCCTGCACGACCCAACCAGGGCCAGGGACAAACCGCAACTGAGGTACGTGCCCTTAGCAGGAAGGGAACCCGGGTCTCTCTGGACTGTAGGCTGACGCTCTAACTGCTGAGCCAAACCGGCCAGGGCCATTGTGGGTTCTTAACAACTAAGCTATATCATTCCGGTGATTGAACTGTCCATGGTCCCCTGGGTATTAATGCATGCCATGCAGACCCCTAGGGAGTTGCACTTAAACATGCCAGCATGTGTGATGTTCCTCAAGAATGTGCACATGAATCACCTATCATTTTCCACTATTAATGTGGCTTGAAACCATGGTACTTTATTCATAAATCTTGTGTTACAGGCAAAAACCTACTGGATTTCTGAGGTTTAAGAGCAACAGAAATTACATTCTTATGTGGATCCCAAATAAAGGTTTATCCAAAAGAAACATAAATGTCCTCCATTGACTGGACTTATTAATATTAGCATGTTAGACAAAATGCAGATACATTTCCTCTTTGTAAAATGAGTTTTGAGGTTGGGGCAGTTGTCTACATCTCCCTGTAATCTTGAACAGCACTGCAATCTCAGCACTGTATAATTATGTCAGGTCTAATCCTCTGCTTTGAATGGGATTAAATTAAAATGATTTGAGCAAGGTGAAGATGGAGGGAAGGCAATTGGATGAAAACTGCTATTACTGTATATCTTATAATTATTTTTGTTTGAGTGAGATGAAATTCACAGAACAAGCAACCATGTATAAAAGTGAACATTTCATGCCCAGCCCGTGTGGCTGTGGTTGAGCATTGACCCATGCACCAAGAGGTCATGGTTCGATTCCCTGTCAGGACACATGCTCAGGTTGTGGGCCCCATCCTCAGTGGGGGGTGTACAGGAGGCGGCCAACCCATGCTCTCATCAATGTTTCTATCTCTCTCTCCCTCTCCCTTTAAAATCAAGAAAAAAAAAATTTTATAAAAGTGAACATTTCAGCCTTGGCCAGTTTGGCTTAGTGGTTAGAGCCTCAGCCTGAGAACAGAAGTGTCTCAGGTTCCATTCCTGATCAAGGGCATGTACCTGGGTTGCAGGTTCGATTCCCCAGCCCCAGATGGGGGTGGGTTTGTGTGGAAGGCAATCAGTCCATGATTCTATCTCCCTTCCTCTCTCCAAAAATCAATTAAAAATAAACAGATATATAGCCTGGCCGGTGTGGCTCAGTAGTTGAGCATCGACCCATGCACCAAGAGGTCGCTGGTTCAATTCCCGGTCAGGGCACATGCCCAGGTTGTGGGCCCTATCCACAGGTGGGGGCATGTAGGAAGCGGCCAATCAATGTTCTCTCATTGATGTTTCCATCTCTCTCTTTCTCCCTTCCTCTCTAAAATCAATACAGAAAAAAAAAAGGTTAGAGCATTGGCCTGCAGAACAGAGTTCGGTCCCTGCTAAGGGCAGGTACCTTAGTTGGAGTTTGTCCCCAGCCCTGTTTGGGGTTGTGTGGCTGGCAACCAGTTGATGTTTCTGTCTTCCTTCCTCTTTCCCTACTGCTCTATCTGAAGATAAATGTCCTCGGGTGAGGATAAAAACAAACAAAAAAACGCAAAACCATATAAAAGTGAACATTTCAGGCCCAGCCAGTATGGCTCAGTGGATTGAATGTTGTCCCATGGACTGAGAGGTCCTGATTCAATTCCCAGTCAGGGCACATGCCCCAGCTGTAGGCTCGATCCGTTAGGGAAGTGAGGGAGGCAGCCGATCAATGTTTCTCTCTCTGCCTAAAAACAAACAAAAAAAATTTAAAGGACATATTTTAATAAAGAGTGAATAATTCAGCTAATATTTTTTGAGTAATAACTACAGGACTAAGTAAGGTGGATACATTTTACTTTTTGGAGAAAGCCCTTTTAGCTATGACCGTCCACAGGCCATGGACCAATGGTTTTTGGATGCAGTAGGCCTGAATTTTATTTTGTTAATGTATTGGAATGTTGATTGGTCACACAACCAAGCTATTCTTCAATAAATGGATGGCTGAAGGTTGGTTTTGAAAGAAAACTCTTCATGTCTCAGGAGATACTAGTCTTTATTAGATATGCAGCATTTACTCAACTGTAGCACTCACTAAATTAAAAATACATTTTAATAGGCAAATAAACCACAAACAAAAATATTTGATTTTTTTATTTCTTCAAATTTGTTGTTTATCAGGAGTGACTGAAATAAAAAATAGAATTGAGTCCCATCATTATCATGGAAATGGCTTTAAGAGAAAACTGGTCAGATGAATATTATTGCTTCCCATTTTCAACCAGTAAATAGTTGCCACTGATAAATAGACAGCCGACAGTCTGTCAAGAATGCTCAAGATATGTTACATAATACAACATGCCTGTTCACGGTGGGTGCGGGGAGGGAAGACTAGGAAATAATTTATGTGAACTTCTTGATTTCATCATACAAGACAAGCACAAAAGCACCACCCATGCCTCTGAGAACATTGGACCATGCACCCTTGAAAAAAGCTTTGCCTCCTTCATCACGAGCAATCTTCCTCCAGCAGTCAAGCGTGCCTGTGTACATGATATCAGCTGCAAAGAAGAAAGACATGTGTTGGTGACAAAAGGCTGTTGAAAAGTCCTAGGATTTACTGGACTAAACCAGAGCCCCACCTCTAAGAGCTAACAGTTTTTTGTTTTAAAAATTTTTTTTTTCTTTATTGATTTTAGAGAGGGAGATAGAAACATTGATAAGAGAGAACATCGAATGGTCGCCTCCTGGATGCTCCCCAACTGGGGATTTGGCCCATAACCTGGGCATGTGCCCTGACCCGGAATCGAACTGGTGACCTCTTGGTGCATGGATTGACGCTCAACCACTGAGCCACACCAGCTGGGCAGTTTTTCAAAACCCAACATTCACATGTTAGCATGGACAATACTGAAATATTAATGCTGTAACTAGAGAACAGTGATATGTGACTACTCCTTGGACTTAACCTCTAATGCCATTTAAGCACCTTCAATCATAGGCATCCAAAGGGCCTGCTCAAAGGCAACTATGAGCAGACATAATCAACATCCTGAGATCTGAACAGACTGCCGTTTCACAAGCCAGGCATTGCTAGTTTATGCGCATGCCCCATGCCCACATCTCCATCTTCTGCTCAAGGGGAACTTACTTCCTTTGCGCCCTGACTGCATCATCATGCGGCGACGAACAGTGTCAAATGGATAAGACGTCAACCCAGCCACTGCTGTGACGGACTGTGCGATCATCCAGCTGATGAAGATATGAGTATTCTTGGGATCTGGAAGCATTCCTGAGAATAGGAGAGACACCTTTACTAGAAAGCAGAGTTGTACTGACTCGTTTTCCCTATCTCCCCAACATCCCATTTGGTCACAAGGGTTGTACTGGATGACCTTAGCTGCCTGTAGCAATTACAAAAAAACCCTCTGGCTCCTGGAAAATGATCTCGTAAGAAGACAGCTTCAAAACACATAGCAAACTTACCCTTCGCAGTGTCATAGACACCGAAGTAGGCAGCTCGGTAGATGATAATACCCTGCACAGACACATTAAAGCCTTGGTACAGGCCCTTAATCCCATCAGATTTGTAGATCTTAACCAGGCAGTCACCGAGGCCTTTGAATTCCCTTTCAGCTCCAGCTTTGCCCACATCAGCTGCTAGACGGGTCCGGGCAAAATCAAGAGGATACACAAAACACAAGGAGGTGGCCCCAGCGGCACCACCTGATGCCAGATTCCCTGCAAAGTATCGCCAGAACTGGGCTCTCTTGTCCACACCACCCAGGAAGATCTGCTTGTATTTATCTTTGAAGGCAAAGTTGAGAGCCTGGGTGGGGAAGTATCTGATGACATTGGCCAGGTTACCACGCCAGAAGGACAGGACTCCCTGCTCCCTGGGGATACGAACCACACAGTCTATAATGCCCTTGTATTGCTTATCTGCGGTGATTTGCTTGCTGGCGTGCTGCACCTGACAGACAAGAAGGAAGCCAATAGGGAGAGTTATAAGCATGGAGAAGGGAAATGGGGACAGAATATATTTTCTCAATCAATGCAATTTAAAGTTAGCCTCCACCGCCCATCTAGTCTTCTGTATCATGGGCTGGATCCTCCTAACCATCTGACAGCTGTCACAGTGAAAGAGATGATCTGCATCATTAGAGGCATTAAGCCTCCACCCCTTTGGGTGGGGAGGGGGCACGGTTAAGCGGACCCATGACCTTTAGAACTGGGAGAAAGGTCAGACCCAGGTTCAGAGGCGTTAAGGCGAGTCCCAGGTAGGGCGCGGTCACCTTGGTGACCAAAGCCTACGCCTCAACTCTCCAGAGCTGCTTCCCTCTTGCTCCGCCCCGACTCCTCTCCTAGAGGTGACCCGCGAGCCACCAGTCCCCTTCGCCCATCCGAGTGCGCCCTCTAGAGCCGAAACATGCAAGTGCGCGGCGCAGGCTGGCCGCGGGGACGCGCCGGCGGCTGCGCGGAGGCGGACGCAGCAGGCACACGCGCTTCCTCGCGCAGGCTTCCGGCCCGGCCGGGCTGGAGCGCCGGGGCGGCCGCGTGGCTGCCCCAAGGCTGTGATCTCCTTGCCGCGACCTTGAGGTCTCCGGTAAGGCCAGGTGTTCGCCGGTTCTAAGGCTTCGCCTTCGACCCGAAGGCCCAGGGAGACAGCTAGCCACTGCTGGACTCCCCCGTCCGAGTTCGTGGCCTCCGGAGCGCCGAGGCTCGGGCCTTCCTCACCTCCCTCCCACCCCGACCCTTTCCCAGATCTGAAACTTCAGGTCACTAAAGCACCTCCCTCAAGCTTGCCTTTTTGGTTCGCCTCTGCGGCCACCCCGGCCCCCAGGCTGCCACCTCCCTGGACCTATCTAAAGAGTTCACCCCCTCCATCCCTGGGGCACCACTTTCAGCGCGACCCCCTTCCCGTCCCCTCCCCCACTTCCTGGTCGGGCTCTCCGATCCCGGGACGTACCTGCAGCAGCAGCTTGACCCGCTCGATGGGCGCTACCGCTGTCTTGGAGATGGCTGCGGCCACCCCACCTGCCAGGAAGTCCTTGGCGAAGGACACAGCGGCATCTGTCATGTTGAAAGGAGAGACGAAGCGGGCGACTGCAGGCCTGGGACCGTAACCGGCTGGGACTCCGGGGCTCTAGGGCGGAGCGAAGCAAATGGCCGATATATATACGCGGAGCCGGCGCCCGGAGGCCGGCGTCGGAGGCGTGGCTGCGGGCGGGCGGTGCGCTGAGCCGGGGGCTGCTGAGTGGCTGGGCGCGGCGGGGGAGGAGCCGCACAGGGGGGCCCGGGCTGCCCTTCGCGCTCCGGCTGGTCAGCAGGAGCCGACCCGACTTGAGGGAAGGGCGGCCTTAGGGAATAGCCAGGATTCGGACGCTGGACTCCAAGAGTGGCCTGGGCGGGAAGGGACGCTGAGGTCACCAGGTGCCTGGACAAAAACCTCTGGAGCAGGGCCGGGACAGGGGTGAGGCGAAGGATTGAAAGGAATGGCAAAAACAAAACAAAACACAACTCAGTAATCGAGATAAATCATATTTAATGCAACCTTTAAAGTTTTTCATACAGGCAAACTGCAGCTCTCTGGCCGGTCGCCTGTTTTAGTAAATCAAGTTTAATTGGAGCTTTCAGGCCTGGGATTAGGGTGAGACAAGTGAGGTAGGGTCATACAAGTGTGGGAGGTGAGTATCCTGTCTTTATTTTAAATTTTGATATTTTGTTCATCATGAATTTTTGCAGTACTCAAAGCTCTTAAAATAGTCTATTAAAATTTCATTTTGCTCACTAAGTTATTTGTCATCCCCTTAAATTTTGTGCCAAGGCAAGTGCCTCCTCACTCTAGACCTGGCACTACCCTAAAGTTTTGCCAGTGAAGCAAGAGGAAATTGGGGGAACAGCATAGCAGGGACACTGTCAACGTGCTCCAGACCGGGGTTTGCAAATACAGTTTAACAAAGATCTTGCTGGAAATTGGCAGAGGAGAGTCCAAAGGACTCCACTGGGGGTGGGGAAATTATTATAGCCAAAAGCCAAATATAGAGGTTGTACAGGGAAGGTTAACAGGCTGTGTGAACTAGGTTGGCATTTGCTTCCCAGACTCCAGGTAAAGTGCTCTTGGATTGAGTAGATGATTGAACTCCAAAAAAGTTCAGAGGAATCAATAGAATTAGATTGATGGCCATTGTGTCAATGGACAGGTGCTTAACTGAGCCCCTTAATCCCTGCACTGGGTAAGCATTTGTCATACATGTCCTACTTATTAATTTGAATGCACTCTCTCAGGTTCCGAACAGGAGCCAAGAGTGTAGTCACAAATTCTATGTGAAAGTAATCACAACAATGTTTATAAAAATAAGGATACATGTTGAAAACTGCAATTGTAGCTGAACCCTATGAAGACATAGGGGCATATCCCTCACTTTCCTTTCCTCCCCTCTCCCCCTTCCAGATCTACCCATCAAAGGACCCCATTCCAGGGTTCCTCCAGGATTGTCAGGTCCTGTAAGTATAGGTTGCAATTTGCTAGTCCTCCCAAGAACCCCAGCAACCCAACCTGAGGAGCACACATCATGTGTTCAAAGAAGAGCAAGCTTGGATCCAGCTTTGTTGATCTTGGGGTATCTTTGATCTGTGTTCATGAGAGGCTGCTGGTTTTCCCAGTAGCTGATTGTAATTTCCCAGTAGTGATGTAATTAGTGATAGTGCATGTGGATATAAAAATAACCTTGCTGTACAGTTTCAGAGAATAATACAGTATATTCATTGAAAGGTACAGTCACTCATCTACTTCTACCAGGGAAAGAATTAACAGCTAAAGCAAAAGTCAACAGAGCATTTTATTTAGAGGGAGGTGGTTTTTAGAACACATTTCAAAATAAAATTCAAAACCTTCTAGTTGAACCCTTGACATTCTGATTAATGCATTTTATTCAAATGTTAATTACTCTTTGAAATGCAGGGCTATCACTTATCTACTCTTTTTCTACTTCTCAAAGCCACATCTGCTACTGCCTTTGAGCCTGAGGTCCCAGTTGTATTCTATTCCAGATTCCTTTTACAGTTTCAAGCACTTCCACATTTATTGCTCTATCAGATTTCTGTCTCTCCACAAAAAGATAATCGAATAATTACATAGGATTTTTCCCTTCTTAGTCTTTGGGTACCTAAATGTAGTTTTACTGAAGATGAAATATAAGATGGGTCATTTAAAAGCAACTTCATGCCATGGGTTGGCATTTTTCCAAATCCACTGAGAGCTGGAGCTCTCCTAGTTGCCTATTAGCAGCTATACTTCAAAGAGTCAGATGTTCTCAAAAATGCTGCCAAGGTCACAGAAAACAGAAAAACTGAGGAACTGTCACATTAAAAGAGACTAAGGAGAATGACAGCTTAATGCAATGTGTGATCCTGGTTTGGATACTGAACCAGAAAATGGACACTGGTGGGGGCCTGTTGGTAATTTTGAATATTTGTGGATTAGTTTATAATATTCTACCAATACTATTCTTAGTTACAGCGGTTATGTAAAATGTTAACATTTAGAAAAGCTGAGTGAAGGATATATGGAAATTCATTATACTGGTTTTTTGGCAACTTTTTTTTTTTTATGTCTGAATGTTAAAATCAAAAAGTAAAAAGAAGAAAAAAGAAACCTGTAGCAAGAGCCCAGGAAAATAGAGACTAATATTAATGATAATAATGATATATGGTTGGTCAATTCATAAAAAATAGATTCCTCCAGTGAGGAATAGTGGGGATTCTGTGTTAGTTACTACTTTGTTTTTGGAAACTATGTAGACTACAAGTGTAATTAAGAAAGAGGAACTAAAGCTAAGGCAGTGCCTGGTAATTCTCCAGAAAAAAACAAGGAAGAGGGTCAGAAATGATACTTAAGGCCTCAGTTAGGCCTCAGTTAGTTATCTATGTACCAACACCTAGAACATGGGTAGTAAAGTGAATGTAAAATGTTAATACAGGCAGAAAACAATTTTATAGGTATTGTTCAAACTTGGTAGAATGAGACTTCTGATTGGCATCTGAAAAAGGAAGGGTAAAAGTGTTCAGGGCAATACCATATAAAAGGAGAACAGAGCAGTAATATATCAAGAAGGTATAACCAGTAATTCATTGGCTGGAGGGTGAAAAGCATTCAGTGAAACTGAAAGGGAGATATGAAAGTAATTGTAGTTGTATAAGTTTACAAGAGATTACCTAGATAGATAAAAGTTCTGAATAGTACTTCATAAAACCATCACATAGGCGAGAAATGATCAGAGACATAAGCCATCCAATATCTGCTGGAAGTTTCATTATTCAGATAGCAACACATTGGAAAAATTCTTGACTCTCTTGATGATAATTATAGTTTTCCGAAGACTGAAGAGGCAGACAGGTAAATTGCTAAACTGGGCTTAATCCTGACAATAAATAAGGAAGATCTGGTTAACAAAGTAAAAATGACAAGACTCTTGGGGAAACTGACCATGCCATCTGGATATATTAAGCAAAAGAATGCTAGGCATGGTTAGATGGGTGAACTAAAGGTGTGTGTGTGTGTGTGTGTGTGTGTGTGTGTGTGTGATATATATAATCAGAGAAAAGATAAATATGATCTCCTGGCCAAACACCTAAAGAGAAAGATAGCTCAAAAGGGTAAAAGATTCCAAAGATAAGATTCAGACCTGTACAATTTAGAAAAAATCCAATGAGAAAATAAAAAGTGAGAGAGATCTAATAAACTAAAATGTCCTTACATATTATTCTTTGATGAGCCCAGATTTTGAAAGTACATATATAGATGACAGAAGGAGGGCTAGGCTGTCAAGGACTAAGACCAAAATGTGTTACAGACCTCTAGGAACTGAGTCAGAAGGGTCAGAATAAACTCAGGCTTACAAAATAGGAAGGGCCACATAAAGGGTTCTAATGCTCTATTTAGTGCAGGACATTAAAGGATGAGAGCTAGAGCTTACTTTAGTATTGTGAAAACTGAGGGTCTTAGTTGACTGTGAGGTGACAGTGCCAAAAAATGCTAGTGAGTATTGAGTTCAGCCAAGAAGATGGTGGTGAACTGATCAGGGGGACGTTTGGTCCCACTTGGGCCTCTGCTGGCGGGCCCATGGAGCTTTATGCTTACTTCTGGATGCCAGAGATAAGAGGACATTAATAAACTGGAACATTAAAAGAAGGTGGTCAGGAAAGGGAAGTGCCTGTAAATCATGTCATCTGAGAAATGGCTGAATAACTGAGGGAGATTTAACTGGGAAAGAGTTTTGGGTGAAGGAGGGACATCCTGTTTCTTAATGTCAGGTAGAAGAGAATTAGTCATTCTATATGGAACCAACACCAGCTGGTAGAAGTTTCACAAAGTTAGATTTCAGCTGAACAAGAAATAACTTTCTAAAATATCAGCTACTTAAAAGTGGAATGGATTGCTTTTTTTATTTTTTTATTTCTTTATTTCTATGATCTCTCCACAAAAGTTCTAAAAATACCTGTCAATACATTGAAAAGACACTTTAAAATCCCGGAATGAAAAATTCTGAAGTATAAACTGTTATCTGTGGTTTACAAATAAAAAAAATTCTACAGGTTAGAATTTCTGAATGATTTTGACAGAAATTTACTAAGAAGCAGTACATTGAACCTTAAAAGATTTTCAATTTACACCCCAACCGAATTTGTGAGAAGCTGTAATTGTTGACAGGCATGGTCCACATCAGCATTTGCTGCTGCCACCAGTGAAGTTAATCCCAAGGCAGAGATTTGTGTGCTGGACGTGCCAGGCTCTCCCATGCAACTGACTAAAGGGCTCTTCTCTTACTTTTTCCCTTATGTGTTAAACAGAAGTAAATATACATATGGTAAAAATTTTAAATGTGGGGAGAAGGGAAATTTTAAATGGTTCAGTAAGATCCAAAATAAGCAAATCTGTTATCTTCAAAGTCATTAAGCAGTCATATGAATAATTTATCAACTGAAGTCAACCGTAGAGTGTCTTTATCTGAAAATGATTCTCAGGCCTCTGGAACCATGTTGATTTTCTTATGTATTACCTCTGTTGCTGAGAAAAACCATTCAGTCCGCTTCATGTTTAAAAAACCATTACACGCGCTGGTTCGGTTCCGCTAAGGGCACATACCTCGGTTGCAGTTTGCCCCCG